GAGAGTCACTGGGAGGTGTGGGGTCCCGGGGAGGGCGTGTGTAGGAGCCAGGGATGGGGAGGCCGCAGGAAAGATGGTGACATGGAGAGCATCATGGGAAGCAAAATAAGCCAGTCAGAGGGCAATGAGGATCACATGAGCTCACTCCTGTGTGAAATCTAAGGGAGAGAATAAACGGATGGCCCGGTAGGCGTGGCTCCGTGGTTTCTGGGTCAGCACCTTGTGGTTCCCCCGCCACCACCTGTGGGAAGTGGGGCAGGGCCTTGTGGGGAGGGGGGTGCACTGCACAAGGGGCTCAGCCCTAGTCACGGGGCACTGCCCCCGCCCCCGCAGGCCTCCTGAGAGGCGCCCACAGCACCTTCTGTAGGAGCGGCTGTTTAGGCGTCTGTGGTTGGCCGTGTGCCGCATGCAGACCTCGCTGGTGCTGGGGACAGCCCTACTGGGAATCAGTGACCTGCCCTGGGCGACCTGGCAACATGCCTGATGCCACCCCAGGGCCTTTAGGCTGAGCTGGGGCCCTGGTATGGAGGGAGGAGGGCTCCTGGGAGGAGCTCAGAGAGCAGTGAGGGAGACACACCAGGCAGTGACCTCGGTCCCCACAGCGGGGACCACGGCAACCCTGGCAGCGGGTCTCACACATGGGATGGCGTCTGCGGCTGCACCTGCTCCCGACCTCCCTGGTCAGCAGGACGGACACCAAGCGCTGAGGAGCCCGGCCACCAGGCTCAGTGGTTGGGCATCGACCTAGGAACCAGGAGGTCAGGGTTCAATTCCTGGTCAGGGCACAGACCCGGGTGGGGGCTCGATCCCCAGTGTGGGGCGTGCAGGAGGCAGCCGATACATGGTTCTCTCTCATCATTGATGTTTCTCTCTCTCTCCCTCTCCCTTCCTCTCTAAAATCAAAACATATTTTTGGGAAAAAGTCGGGGGAGTGGTGTGGGGGAGGGGCTGGATGAACCAGGAAGAGGGGAGCAGGCAGGCACTTGTCTGCACTATTTTATTTCTTTTATTTAAAAGGCGCAGCAGCAAACGAGACGACATCCCGCCAGCGGATGGGGGAAGTGGGAATGTGCCCGGCCCGGTCTCTCTGTCTAAATGTAAGTCCTCGGAAGGCGAGCTCACAGGACCATGTGCGGGTGCAGAGCGCTGAGCTCTCCTGGTCGGGGCCCCGCAGGCCTGGCATGGGCACCGGCAGGGGCCTGGGCCACCCGTGCCAGGCACACTCCTGGGTCAGGCGCCGGGCAGAGGGGTGGGAACCCAGGCTGCAGCCAAGGACCGAGACCTGTGACCCCCCAGCTGAGGGGGACGGGCCCGGGGCCGAGAAGAGCCAGAGCGGCCCTGTGGGCGGGTGAGCTCCGGGGGCTGGCGTGCAGGTCCCCCCCTGACCAGAGGGGCCCGTGGGCGTGGCCCTGGAGGAAGTGAGCACAGGGCCTGGCCAGGTCTCAGCGGCTCCCCGGGCATCCGCCCACCTCCCCATGACCTTAGCTTCACACCCTGTGTGACAGGACCTGGGGGTTTTTCTTGGTAAAAACAGCAGCCCCGCCTCCTCCTGCCTCCCCACCCCCATCCCACAGCTGATGGGGAGGCTTCTTCTGTTTGCTGTTCTCACCAGAAAATGAACCTTACTCCCTCCGTCCCTCTCTCCCTCCCTGCCCTGAGGGAGGACAGCTCTGGGCACCTGGGAGAGGAGTGTGGGCACCCTCCCAGCAGGGAGCAGGACCAGCTCTCAGAGACAGACTTCCTGGTGGGAGACGTTTGCTAGAAAGAGAACCGAGCAGGTCATTTCTGATCACGAGTTTCTGGCCACCAGGAGGAAGGCTGACGTGCCCGGGGGGCTGGGTGGTGCCAGGCAGGATCGGGGACAGTCACCCGGCACCCCCTGCACCCTGTGGGGGAGCCAGCCCTGCACAGGCCGGAGGGGAGCATGTCTGGGCCCAGGGAACAGCTCGGGGACCCTCGGAGGCTGCGGAGGGAGGAGGGTGAGGTCAGGTCAGAGGGGCCACAGGGCCTGTCACAGCCCACAGCCAGGAGGAGGAGTTGGGGTGTCTCCCTGTGCACTGGGGGGGGGGTGAGAGTGAACCAGTGATCTTTCCATCAAAGGAAGGAGCTCAGGCCACCTTAGGCTCCGCCATTTCTGATATGACCTTCAGACTCTCAGGGGGCCCCCACCTTAGGCTCCGCCTTCCCCTCCCCTTCCTCGGAATTAGCCAATTGCGCGTTAATGGGAATCTGATCTCTGAGCCCTGACCAATCAAGTCAGAGTTCAGAGTGAGGGGTGGGCAGACCCAGGGCCAGAAATAAAACCCAATGGGACTTCCCGGTAGGGGTGCTGTGGCCCAGGATTCCCGCTGGGGGAGCATCCTTCTCGCAGGCGTCCATCTGCTTTGCTGGTCCAGTTCCGAGTGATTGTCTCATTCCTGCCACATCTTTGACAGCATTTCCAACAGGTGGGTGAAAGGGGTCTTACCGTCCAAGTGCTCACCCCCAAAAGGCTTCTCCCCCACCCCCACCCCTCAGAGTGGCCTCCTCTCAGCCTCGCCCAGCCCCAGGCTTCCCAGAAGCGCCCCCCCCGCCCCCCCAGAAAGAACAGGAATGAGGACAATAAGCCACAGGAATGAGGAAAATATATCACCGCTCTCGGGGCACAGCGCACAGCGGGATGCGCATCACATGTGTTACCTCCCTTCATCCTCACTGAAGGTGCCCACACCCCTCTCCCAGGGCTCAGCGCTGTCCTCCTTCAGTGCAGGGAGGGAAGGAGGGAGGGAGGTCCCAGGGAACAGCTCAGGGACCCTCGGAGGCCGTGGAGGGAGGAGGGTGAGGTCAGGTCAGAGGGGCCAAAGGGGCCTGTCACAGGGCCACAGCCAGGACGAGGATGGGGCGGGGGGAGAGTGAACCAGTGATCTTTCTGTGAAAGAAAGGAGCTTGCTGCCATCTTAGGCTCCGTCATTTTTGATACAACCATCTGAAGCCCACTGGGAGGCCCCCTCCATCCTGGGAGTCACTGCCCAGGGTCCTAGCAGAGTGACCGGAAGTCTGTTATGCCCAGATTTCAAGATCCCCATTAGACCATCAGGGGAGCCAGCCAAGTCTGATGCAAAAGCAGAGAGTCCTTTATTCGAGCTAGCTCGACTCCCCCACCTTGCCGACGCAGCGGCAGGAAGCAGAGAGTGCCCGCCGTGGGAAAAAACAGGGTTTTAATAGGGGGTGGAGTCAGGGTAGGAGAGGGGACTGTGGGCCCTGCCGATTGGCCAGGCACAAGTCGGTGTCTTGTTCCTGGGTGTGGCTAGCAGAGGCTTAGACTTCTGGGAAGAAGGTAGCACATGGCTGCTGCCCCAACACTTTGAGGGATCTCCCTAAAGACCATCTATCATGAGACAAAATACAGGGGATATTAACACAAAAATGCCCACGAGCATTTAGGATTCTAAGGACCCTCCCCTCCTACCCCCAGGCAGCCGCACCGGGCGGGGCAGCTAAGAGCCAAGGAATGTTGCAGCCGCCGGACACGTGGGCGGGATTCCTAGTCACAGCCCCAGTGTTCATCCGTGAAAGGTTCACAGTGGCCTAAACAGCAAGGGTGCAAACGTGATGGAAACACACACACACACACACACACACACACACACACACACACACACTCCTCAGTGAGGCAGAGCAACACACCCTGGTGGCACTGGGAGGCGGAGCAGCCTGGAAAGGTGTCCTCAGGCAGGGAATGCCCAGCTTCCTTCCATGTTTACAGTCACCCACCCCCCTGCCTCCCTTTGTCCCTGGTGTTGGGTGGGCGCGCCTCCCGGGTCAGAGATCTTTCCAGGAATCGGAGGGGAAGGCTGTTCAGAAACCGTGTGGATCTGCAGACGGGGAGCTGGGGGTCTGAAGGCAGCACAGTGTGTGGGGACCTGAGGGCGGTCACTTCTTCGAGGTCGTCCTGACCCCCCACTTCACCAGGAGCCCCTCTTCCTGCAGCAGCGGCCTCACCAGCGGGACCCGGAGGGGGAGTCAGGCCGGGCTGCTGGGCCGGTGCCCTTGGTGCCCCCCTCACCGCCCCCCCATGAGGCCCCTGGGAAGGGACGAGGGGGGCAGGGGGCGCTCTCCGGGGGCCGCATGGTTCCAGCAGGGCCGGCGGCCAGGCCCTGAGTCCCTGGGCCCGGAGGGTCCCTGTCCTGCCAGGGGCGCCCGGACAGCAGTCACCCTCACAGCTGAGCGGCTGAGCCCTCTGCCTCCGTGTCAGGAGAGTGGACACGGAGGGCAGAGGGTTCAGAAACTGCCGCCAGCTCCCCACGGGCCGCGCCCACGGCGGCTCCGACAGCACTTTCTGGAAGGTTCTGAGTGGGCCGGGTCGCACACCTATGACACCAGCTGTGATGCATCCACAAGCTTTTGCTTCAGGCGCCCGGGTGCTGCCGGGCTGAGCCCCCCAGACAGGAGCCAGCGCAGAGGGCAGGGGGGGACTCGTCAGCGATGGTGGCTGATCGCGGTCCAGCTGAGCTCAGGCTGCGTCCTGCGTCCCTCCCAGGCCCGGTGCCCTCTGGTCCCTGCGCTGTGCGGGCTCAGGGCTGCAGGCTCTCCGCCAGGGATCTGCTCAGCACAGAGAGATTCTCTCGGCCCCGTTTTATTCTCTTTCACCTTCACTTTCCAGAACAGGACCCAGAACAGCCCCCCGCCCCCCCTCTGCAGGCCTCCCCAGGTTAGCCCCCCCCTCCCAGCCTAGTCGCCGTGCTGCACTGTGGTCCCCAGCTCCTTGGTGAGGTAGCCCTCGATCAGCCCCAGCAGCCGCTCCTGCAGGTCCTCGCTGCCCATGACAAGCTTGGTCAGCTGACTGGTGTCCTTCCACTTCAGGTTCCCGATTATGACCATGACATGGCTGTGTAGTTTCTTCTTCTCGGCGTTTGGCAGCTCCTTGAGGATCTGAGGGATGGACTTAATCTTCCCCCACAAGATCCAGAATGATAAGAACATCCCGACGCCGCACCCTGGGAACAGGAGGTTCGGTTAGTCGGGCTGTTTACAATGCTGGCTCAGAGCTCACTGGGAGCTCCTCCCCAGGATTCAGGTGGCAGCCCATGATTCGGACCACAGCCTGTGGTCCGGTCACAGCCCATGGTTGGTGTCACAGCCCGTGCGTGGTCTGGGTCAAGCCTGTGCGTGGGTCACAGCCCATGGTCCAGGTCACAGTCTGTGTTTTGGGTCTCGCCCTGAGGTTTGGGTCATGGCCCGTGGTCTGGGTCACAGTTCATAGTTGGGGTGACAGCCCGTGGCGGGGTCCCCCAGGAACCTCCTGCTCCCAGACCAGAGGGAGCAACTCACCCGACCGCCAAGGACCATGGGAACCAGCCACACCTCCCCCAATGGCAGAACCTGGTCCCCAGACGGGAGCGGGGGTGAGACCAGGGGCAGGTGCATGTGGGCGACCGTGGGCGCTTCTCCTGCACAGACTGGGGACTGGGGACCGGGGTGGGGTCAGGCGCTCTCTGAACTGCTAACGTGAGCGGCCAGAGGCCTGGAATCCCGGCTCCCTCCTGACCCTGCAATGAAGACAGGACCGGGCCTGCCCAGGGGACACAGGGCACACCCCCGGGGCAGGGCGCCTTCCAGTCCGCAGGCACGGAGCCACAGGAGGGCGCCCTGCGCTTCTGAGACACAGACACGTGTGTCCCACCGGACACGTCTGTACACAAAGGCCGAGTCTCAGACTCAGCTCGCCAGCCCCTCACGCGGGTGATAGGCTCCTGTGCTGCCTCTGGGGACCTGGGGCCTCTGTCCCCCACCCCACGGGGCACTGCACTCACCAACGGCCAGTCCTGGTGGGCCCCCGGCCAGGCCCCCGACGAAGGCCCCGGCACCCGTGAGCCCAATGATCAACCACATCTGGCGCTTGATATCCACTTTCATCTTCTTCGCCTCCGAGAGGGAGCACAGCAGGCTCATGGCCTCCTCCACTGTTAGGTACATCTCGCACCTTGCTGGCCTGCGGGAGGGAGGGTTACCATGCGTCAGTTCCCACCTAAAGCTCGCTCTTCCCAGTGTCCAGGGTGGACCCCCTGCTCTGGGAGGACCCCAGCTCTGCCGTGGGCGAGGACAGCACCGTCATGTGACAAGTCCTCTGTCACCGAGAAAGCGGGGCTGTCGTTAGTCAATAAGCAAACAGGCCCGGCTGGTGTGGCTCAGTGGTGAGCGACAACCTGTGAACCAGGAGGTCAGAGTTCGATTTCTGGTCAGGGCACAGGCCCTGGTTGCAGGCTCCATCCTCAGTGTGGATTGTGCAGGAGGCAGCCAACCCATGATTCCCCTCTCATTATTGATGTTTTTCTCTCTCTCCCTCTCCCTTCTCTGAAATCAGTGGGAATATATTAAAAAAAAATAATAAATAGAAAAGAGCAGCCCATAGCCGCCTACGGGTAGTTTAGAGCTGGGCTTCCCGGTCCCTCTGCTGGGACCCTGGGCAGTGACTCCGAGGATGGAGGGGGCCCTGCCAGTGGCTTCAGTGAGGATTGAGGGAGGTAACACTTGCAATGCGTCCCACTGTGCACTGTGCCCGTGAGCTGTGAGCTCGCAGTGGATGGTTCATGTGGTTTATTTTCCTTACTAGTGGCCCGGTACACGGATTCGTGCACATTGAAAGGAAAGTAATTAGAAGAAATATTGTAATATCGCTATTCGCCCTTTCTCCATAATAGAAGTGTCAACCAAATTCATGATCAACAATGACAGATGCAAACACATGCATGCAATTGGTGCCAACACTTTATATGTATCCCACATACGTGAGTCAACTTAGCCTTTTATATATCTAACTAGAGGCCTGGTGCATGAAATTCGTGCACGGGGGAGGGTGTGTTCCTCAGCCTGGCCTGCACCCTCTCCAATTTGGGACCCCTCAAAGGATGTCCTACTGCCAGTTTAGAGGGATCGGGCCTAAACCAGCAGTCGGACATCCCTCTCGCAATCTGGGACTGCTGGCTCCTAACCGCTCACCTGCCTGCCTGCCTGCCTGCCTGATTGCCTCTAACCACTCTGCCTGCCTGCCTGCTCACCCCCAACTGCCCCCCTGCTGCCAGCCTGCTTGCTCCCAAATGCCCACCTGCCAGCCTGATCACCCCAAACTGCCCCCCCTGCTGGCCTGCTCGCCCCTACCTTCCCTCCCCATTGGCCTGCTCATTTCCAACTGTCCCCCTGCTGGCCAGCTCACTCCAAACTGCCCCCCCCCGCTGTCCAGATCACCTCCAACTGACCCCCACTGATGGCCTGCTTGCCCCCAACTGGCCCCCCTGTTGGTCTGCTTACCCCCAACGGCCCTGCCCCCCACCAGCTTGATCACAACTGCCCTCCCCTCTTGGCCTCTAACCGCCTCTACCTCGGCCCCGCCACCATGGCTTTGTCCAGAAGAACATCTGGAAGGTCTCCTGGAAGGTCTCCCAGTCTAATTAGCATATTACTCTTTTATTAGTATAGATATATTTGTCTGTAAATATGATTTTGATTGCAGATATGAGTAGGACCAGGTAAAATTTTATAGAACGGCCTTTTATTACAGATGGTTTGCCATGTATGCATTTTTTCTAAAGAAGTAAAAATTACTTTAAAAAATGTTTCAGGGAGACTTTGAGAAATTTACAGTATCTGCTTTTCTTCCAAGAAAGTTGTCACTTTTATGCCAGAGTGAGAATTATTTGTATGCTTTGTATGTCAGCATTGGGCCTCTGTGACTGGGGGGCACTTAGCTTGACTTGAGAGTAATTATCTTGCTCACTGGCTGGGAGGGAGGGTGTGTGGCAGAGGAGATAAATACTTGGTTCTGGATTATTCATAGATTGCTGACTTTCTGGATTGATTGTGCAAGCCCCTCCTTTTATTGCTGTCCACCTTCTGTTGACAGACATCTACCCTGGGAGAGAAATGAGATGAAACTCTCTTTCTTTTCATTGTAAAAAGCATTTGAATTCCTAAGGTGTGATAAGGCCACCCAGCCATCCACAGTCAAGGTACACATTTTCATGGAGGATGTTCCCACTCTTGAATAAATTAAAACAATTTTTTTCTTTTAATTTAAACTTTCTTCTATAACTGTTTTCTTGTTACTTAAAAGCTAGTTTTTTTTAAATATATATATATATATATTATTGATTTTTTACAGAGAGGAAGGGAGAGAGATAGAGAGTTAGAAACATCAATGAGAGAGAAACATCGATTAGCTGCCTCCTGCACATCTACTGGGGATGTGCCCGCAACCAAGGTACATGCCCTTGACCGGAATTGAACAAGGGGCCCTTCAGTCCGCAGGCCGACGCTCTATCCACTGAGCCAAACCGGCCACGGCAAAAGCTAGTTTTTTTGAAACTGCTTCCAAAGCTTTTCAAGCTGTATATGTCCTTGGAATGAATTTATAAATAAGAATTGAGCCGGCCGGTGTGACTCAGTGGTTTAGCATCGACCTATGAACCAGGAAGTCACAGTTTGATTCCAGGTCAGGCCACATGCCCGGGTTGTGGGCTTGATCCCCAGTACAGGGCATGTAGGAGGCAGCCGATCAATGATTCTCTCTCATCATTGATGTTTCTATCTCTCTCCCTCTCCCTTCCTCTCTGAATCAGTAAGAATATATTTGAGAGAGAGAGAAAGAGAGAGAGAGAGAGGAGTATATATGTTTATAAATAAGAAAACATGTATTTGATGCTCTTAGAAAGTCTTATTTTCTTTCATTAAAACTTGTGCAGTATAGGGAACTCCATAGATTCTCTTAATTTGAAGAAAGTTAGAGGGAAAGGTACTAATTCAGAGTTCCTTGAGAAAATGTGTCACTTATATATCTTTTTATGTTTATTTTTTTAAATCAAAAACTGAAATATTTTCTATTCAGAAAATATATTTGGATCTAAATATCTTCTATAATTTTAACCCCAAAATATCAATTTAAATATTTTAAAAATGGTTGGGATGTTTGTTTTTTTTAAATAAGTTAGGTTACTGAAGTTCTACACGTTACTGGATCACCTTGGGTAATTTTCTGATTGGAAAATTAAGAATTATAGTCAGAGGGGAGGACATGAGAATTTTTAAAGAACATATTCAATTTACTTTAGAAGCCGAACCTCTCTTATCATGTGACTTGTTTTGTATGTTTGTTAAACTATATTATCACATAAGCATTGCTGCTATTGGGACAAACAATGGTAGTTGATTCGGGTCATTTGAATGTCCACTGTCTATTTTATTTTTTTATTATTTTTAAAATATATTTTATTGATATTTTACAGAGAGGAAGGGAGAGGGATAGAGAGTCAGAAACATCAATGAGAGAGAAACATCCACCAGCTGCCTCCTGCACACCCCCCACTGGGGATGTGCCTGCAACCAAGGTACATGCCCTTGACCGGAATCGAACCTGGGACCCTTGAGTCCACAGGCTGATGCTCTATCCATTGAGCCAAACTGGTTTGGACCACTGTCTGTTTTAATTTGTCTGTTCATTTTGACTCTGTCGTATGCTCAAACTTCAGTGGAAGTCATGAGAACCTATTATTTTTGCCTGCTGCCTCCTTTACTTTGGAAATATTCTTTTTTACTCAGAGGGACCTTAACTTTGATGTAAGGGATTGTTTCCGTTGCCAACTGTTTTCTTCCTTGCCAAGTAAGACAGTTGTTGTGAACTCTTGCCTTCCCCAGGATATTGCAGATGTTGT